TGTCATTGTAAGTTCTTTGCAGTTACTATCCTCAGTAGCAGAAATGGTGGACAGTGGAACAACTGAAGTAATAACCATAGAAAAAAAACGGAAAGTTATCCACCTGACTTTGCGACAGCCAACCAATAATAATACCACTTGACACGCTAAGGGGGGAAGCTAAAATGTTGTCTGTTTTTACTTGAACCAACATGCTTACAGTCATATTTAAATGTCTAAACTCAAGGATGGTGGCTGGTATGTGTTTTCAGTTTGCATTTGCCAAATATCTCCATTACTAGTGCAGATGAGGCATTAGCAGAGCAATTCATGTATTATACATATGTTTAACATACATTGTTCTCCAGGTACTCCGGCTTCCTCCCACAATCCAAAAACATGCAGGTTATTTGGTGACTCTAAATTGTCCGTAGGTGTGAATGTGAGCGCAAATGGTTGTTCGTCTCTATGTGTCAGCCCTGTGATAGTCTGGTGACCTGGTGTACCCTGCCTCTCGCCCAATGTCAGCTGGGATAGGCTCCAGCACTCCCACGACCCCTGATGGGATAAGCAGTTACGGAACATGAACAAATGAATGAATGAATAACATACATGTGACATGTGCTGTAACATATGATACAGATGTATTTCCCTGATTAACTGAAAACAAATGAACCATCAGCACATCATGTTTTCTGTATTTCAGGTAAATAAGAAAAAACCTACATAAAACTTTCATCATAAAATGTAGGGGATGACTTGGTTTTTCCACAATACTGACCTTTAAAACGTGCAGAGAACAAAATGAAACATTGTAGATGTCAAGTCTCACCTTACTGAATCACAGACATTTGTTGTAACCACCAACAATCGTATTTAAAAGAAAATCTTATCCTGAATTGCTCTTAACAGGTACCTCCCTCAACGTCAAAGGCCATGATTTTCGAAATTTGGAGAAGTAAAACTTCCCTTTAATCATTTTTATGGAGCGTTCTTCAGATCATGGATGGATTACTGAGTGGCCCTGCCAGGCACAGACCTAGGGCCCCCCTTGCCCTCGCCTCGAAAATGCTTCTGAAATAAACAAGAACAGACCAGGAAGAGACTCAAAATGACCACAAAGAGACATGAAGAGATACACAAATACACCCATACTAAGTAAAAAAAAAAGGGCAACCCCTCAGACACTCAAAATGATGACAGAGAGACACAAAGCAACCAAAAAACACACAAAATTACTTCTAAGTCAAGAGGTGGTGGGGCCTTTTGCATATCTGTGTACAGGGGCCATTTTCTAATAATCCACTCATGCTTTAAACCCACAAGTTTCAAAGACACCCCTCATCCTTCTTTTAGTTTTTACACACACATTTATTATGAAATCTGGAAGCGAGTGCAGGCGATAGATTGAACAGTCTCTCTGAAGCCAAGCCTGCCTTGGCAAGGGCACTCAGTCATTTCCACTGTGAGGTTTGGACAGAGCTCTGGCTTTGGTTTCACTTCTGTTAATCACTGAATTCACTTTCCTGATGTAATGCCCAACTCTGGAGCCAAGACGCATGTTTGTGGTTAATACTAGTCTGCCCGGAGTGCTTCAGACCATACCACTGGCTTCATCCTCTACTTTTATTGACATTGTTACAATTACAAATTCACTATTGACTTTACTTTTGGTGCGTAATTGGTACCTGTTGTCAACTTTTATAGTGGAAACTGTTGGTACTGAACACAGGACAAGTGCTGTAACAGGCTTTTTACTTCATGTGCCCAAAGAAAGAAACAACGAAACTTTAGCAGTGACTTCAGAAGTTGTTGTTTTACAATGTTCCTTTTCGTCTAAAGCAGTGTTAGTCTCATTGTGTCATGCGGATTACTGTTAATTTATTATGCTGATCTGTTCTGTACGACATCTATTGCATGTCTGTCCGTCCTGGAAGAGGGATCCCTCCTCAGTTGCTCTTCCTGAGGTTTCTACCATTTTTTTTCCCCGTTAAAGGGGTTTTTTTGGGGAGTTTTTCCTTATCCACTGCGAGGGTCATAAGGACAGAGGGATGTCGTATGCTGTAAAGCCCTGTGAGGCAAATTGTGATTTGTGATATTGGGCTTCATAAATAAAATTGATTGATTGATTGATTGATTGTGCACTTGAACCTGTGCACACCTCCCTCTTCACCTCACCATGCACCATGCATTTTCTTTGTAATGTATCACCTTTAACCTGACAGATGAACTCACTTAAAGGTTGAGGCTGGTGTTATTCTAGATTATTTGGGTTGTCGACAAATGACGAAAACCAACAACTTGTTCATTCCTACAGAAATTTTTCTTACATTGTTCATTCTGTACTGAGGATGGAAATCTTTAAATGGGTGATACATAAAGTCAGATAAATGAATATTACTCAAATAGTAGGACATAATGCATTTGTTGGGGACTGTTTTCAGCCATGGACTATTGAGCCTAATGAGTATTTACAGCATCAGGATGGTGCTCTGTGGGATTTACTCAAATCACAGCTCCCATGTCCATGATAATAAAGGAACGTGTCACCCAGTGTGACATGTGGCTCATTTGTGTTTTTAATGAGTTTTTGGACAACAATGGATGTCTGTGATGCTCATGAATAAGATACATGCTTTCAGCATACAGGCAGTGCTTAGTTTAGGATCAGATAATCTACTTTTTATTATGTCTTTTCATGGGATTTGTTGACAATACCTCACCTTAAGACAAATCTAAATAAAACTGGGTTCTATGGCTTCCCAGGAATCTCTCCTAAACTAATAAGGCTTGTTCCCAGTAAGTGTTTAGTTCCTTGGAAAATTAATGTACTCCTTCAAAATAAAGCTGTATATTTGTCTTTTAAAAGTTAAGGACAATCAACCTGTTTGAAGAACAATTGATCCCCTCTGATGGCTGTGCCCACAGCCAAACAAAAGGTTGTATGACTTACCAACACCATGACCACAGGTTCAGCTATCTTTGATTTGCCGTCACTTAAAATACATACAACACCAGATTGTTTAGTTTAAAATCTATTAGCACTTTGACAACACACTGTTTTCTAGATATTTAGTTTATATTGTTTTGTCATTTTGCTGTTTGCTTTGTAAGTTATTAATTAATTTCTGTTTGTCTTTGAGTTACCTGAAGTCACTTGCTCGTTGGAGTTGGGCAAAAGACGGGACTGAGGGCAGGTATGTGCAGAAGGTCATAGTCTTAGTTTTTGTCTATGTAAGTTTTCCACTTTATAGTCTGATCAGCCAGTATATGTTACTCCCAAGATTTCCATTGGTCCCAGCTGGCCACCCTCGTGAAAAATTTTGGGGTGTGCCACTGTTTAAAACCTCAGTGAAACTATAACATACTGGTTCAAACCTTCTGCACCCAACAATACTGCATGCTATAGTGACCTGCCTGTGGTTTCCATAATCCCTGTGCAACCATGTCAGCTCAATGCTTTATACCATTATTGTAAACCTGACAGAAATGACACTGCGCCCCAGTGCTGGCCCCTGGCATAAGCAGTATAGGCCAGTGCTGAGGGCGCCGTCATCCATGGACACACAATTAGGGAAGAAAAAAAAATCAAAATGTTTATCTTTTACTATTTTTTTTTTTTTTTTTTTTTTTTTTTTTTTACCAATTTCATCACTACCACTATTTTGAAATATTAAATAAGGCCACAACAATATAACTACATAGCAAAGCCTACTAAATGATAGACAGGCCTTTTTTCTGGGTTCCTGCCAACCCTCCTTCCCCCTCCACAGCTTGATACACTTTATCTGCTCTCTGGGGGAGACAAACCCACTGTATTGCTACCATGTCAAAATGACAAAACTCTGGTGCCCACTCAACTACCACTACATTATTGAGAGGACACTCAACTACCACCACACTACTAGGAGGAATGGATGTGAAGAGAAATCATGAAATCATCAGGAGGAGGGCTCTTTATCATTAGCTGTTAGCAGTTAGCAGCTGGTTATGGTTAAATCTGAGCAGCTGGTGGCCGATACCAACAGCTCACAAATTGATTTACACTGTAAGGCGTTCAAGCTCTTATCAGTAAAAATTAGTAGCCTATTGGAGTTAGGTAAATTATAACGTTCTTATGATGTGTTCATTGTAATCTTGTAAGTAAGTCTTTTGGTGAGAAACTTGAATAAATCCAGCAGTTTGAAGGAAAAATGTGTTGATGTTTTCACAGCACTATAAAACAGATATTAGAGAAAGAATGTATCATATAAAGTAAAAAGGCTTTTTGCTCATTTTTTAAAAGATGTCCTTCATGTAAAAGATGGTTATGTTTAAGGTTGTTTCATAAATATGTATTATTGAATTTGTGCTCTGTCAAAGGTAGTGTAATGAAGGACTAGATGACTTTAAAACTGTTCATTTATTTTTTTATATAGCCTAATGTAGATTTCTGTGTTTCCCTGGCACAAAAGAAAAATAAATAACAACAAACAAACCAAAAAGAAACACTAACATAAAAAAACAAAAAAAAATTAAAAAAAATCCCTAAAACATTTGCTTTTGGCAAAATTGTCATTTTAAACATTGGTCATTGGTCCAGCATTTCAAAATCAGCGTATCCCTAGTTTAATAAGAAAGTTAATTTGTACATTTTATTATTTTTGTACAATGTCATGTATTATTTTAGTGTTTTCGTTGTCCTCTGAACTACTTAATTTGTATTTTTTTATTTTTATTAATCATTGATTTAAATAATTATTATAACACATGTACAACACTGTCCTTCTGTCTTAACTTTTCCACACGAGGTCAAAAGCTCAGCAAGCGTTTCATAATTTCTTTGGTAAACGACGCCTCTGCACAAAGTCATCGTTCCTAGGTACCAACTTTTAATGAATCACCGGGGGATTTACACTACAGCGATTGTAACGTAACGTGTGTAGGCTCGCGTGTAAATCAGCACACGCGGGAAAGGGTGCGCTCTGTTTAGCGAAGGGTCGCGTCACGCCCACCACCAGACTGACTGGCACGAGGGGGACTACAAATAAGAGCGAGATAACGGCGAGGACTGATACAATATTCCTCTCTGAGCAGGAGATTCACTGAAAGCACAGTTTCATCCAAGAACACAGCAGAAAACATGGCTCAAGGTAAGTACACTGAATACTTTTATTTTTAAGCAGACCTGTTATAAACTGCCGGTGATATTTAGGATACATAACTTGTGGAAACTATTTTCAAACTAATATAAATAGTCAGGTCGTAGTTTATAACTAGATAAATGTTTAAAAATACATGCACGTTTATTCACAGTGTTATAATCTGCATGGAGGCTATTTATTCCACAGTCAGTTCCCCAAGGATTTTGTTGTAATGAATTCTTCCCACTATTTCCTAATATGGATATTAATGCAGCTTTAAATGTAACTCACTCTGTGTGTATTTTTGATGCTGTGTAGTTTGTCTAGCCACTTACTGATGAGTTAATGACAAGGCAGGGCAAACTTTCATTAAGTCTAGGACACTGTAGCATGCTTTAGAGAGGATACATACTAAAAACAAAGGTGAATAAAGTTACCACAGTCTGCACATGCCATCGCCTGGTGCTAGCTGGATTCAAAGCTGCAGGAGAAACTTAGTCAAACAGACATTCATCAGAGTTCTGAAGACCAATGCATCCAAAAAATGTTTCACCCTCATGTTTGAGCAGATGATTGTTGCCCCGGGACCCTTATAATAGCAGCTGAGAGCAGCTGTGGAGCCAGAGACAGTCACAGTGCTGCTCTCTTTACAGGCACACACACACCACCCTACACATAGTTTACATTTACACCCTTGTAAAGACATTCAAAACTTCCCAAACAAGAAAAATAGTCGAACTTTCAGTGTCGGCAAAATGTTTAACATGCCAGAAATATCTGAGGAGGGCCGTTGGACATTTTATGGCAGAAAATGCATACACTTTCTGTTGTAGGTTGTGTTTTTATCTCTAAACCTGTGAGCTGGAATGGGCTAGTTTAAAGTGATAATAGAAATGCATTTGCTTTTTGCCATATTTAATCGTCATAATCACAGGATGTTAGTAAGATGTGTATTAGAGGAACCAGCTACACCAATACAAATATAAGCAAGGCTTACATCACTGCAGAACTTGCAGGTAGAATAAACAGCACATATTTAAACCAGTGTTGCCTGTTTTCCAGCTGTTGGAAGTTAACAAAGCATTTCCTTGAATCTGAAAGTGTCCGTGATGGAGCTCTGAAGTCAGCATGGGTGTTACCTGCAAGACTAAGAACTCCTTTCAGGGGAGTTTGCTCATATTTTTTCTCAGACTAAAATAGTGTTTACTGTACTCAGTTGACACCAGCTAGTTCTAGTTTTAATGTCCTTATTAGGCTTATACCGGCCTCAGTGTGGTTTTACTGGGACAGTCCGTCTGTGTGTGGTGTGGGTCATGGTTGGTAAAGTGGGACAGAAGTGTGGGAGTGTACAGTATGTGAGGGTTAGAGAGGTTGGCAGGGTTGTGGCTGTGGAATCTCTGCCCATGCATTTCATATTAGAGCATTGTGCTGCTGCAAGTTACGTAACCCCTACATAATAAATGTATTCAGTTTGGCTTTACATCACATGAATACCATCTGCTATACCACAACTGCTTCACCTTGAATGACACATGCTGTTGCACTGTGGTTTGGGGAAAAACAAAATTCATTCTCTTATATGTCAGTTATGGGGCCACAAAGACCCCCAAATTACAACAGAAAGCATGACGTCAGTGTCCTATTGCACCGTTCGCCTGTTGTTTCTGGAGGTTTTGGGTCTCGGACAGTCATATGTTTTTAATCTATGTAATGGTTTTCACATTCTGCATGCTGACGATCTGTTTTATTGGACTCTCTCACCATGAGGTGCGAGTACAGTACAATTAGTCTTTCTTCAAAAGGCAAAGGACCCAAGTGAGATATTTCTTTCCCCTGATGGTCCCTCAATAAACTGTTAAATTACATCGCTGCTCCAATGCAATGCAGATATGTATTTGATATTTGCACAGATCAAATGTGAGCTAAATGACTGAAGCGTATGCACAGGCTGAGGAGCAAATCCCTCATAATCCTCTGACAGCTGTCCCAGAATAGGTGGCGTTGCATCCTTAAGGCATTTGCCCCCAATTACTAACACTAACATGTCTTTAATTAGGAACTGAACCAAGGTCAAGATCAGTAAAACATCAGAGCTGAGACAGACACTCAGGAATGAGAGACTTCACGTAAAACAGCAGGAAGTCTTTACAGCTTAGTCTCTTTGTTTATTCAAGTCTCGCCTCGCCTTGACACTTCCACCCCATACTTGTTTCCAGGGCTTTTCTTGACACCAAGGACTAATATATGGGGAGAGGTGAACCTCCTGACATGTCATGGAACAGGAGGACCGTGGAGGGATTATATAGGGCGACCCTTACTTTTCCTACAAACAGGAAATCAAAGGGTGGGATTCGCTTAGGCACAACAGGCCCTGGAGAGAAGGAGCGGTTGTGTGTTTGCACATTTCACAAGGACTGACTCTCTGTCTGTGTTTAGCTCTTGTTAAACCAATACAGAAATCCCCGTGAAGCTACATGATTTTACCATAAATGACTGCGAGTGTCCTGCGGTTGACCGTTTTAGTCCAAAGTCCACAGAATTGGCGGTGGCTTTGAAGATCACACAAACAAAATAAAGTTAGAATAAAAGTCAGTTTATTGAAATTAGCAACATGTAGGAGAGCAGTTCACTTGTAGAAAATATAAAAAACACATTCACGGCCATAAGAAGAAATCTAGACTAGTTAACCACAGATTTGATGTTATTTTGCTGCATGTCTGCAATAAAAAAGTTAGTGTTGGGCCTTATAAATTCTATTAAATATCCCTCACCCTATACGTTTTACAACTTGCACTTCATTAAAACCATGTTGTGGCATTAAACGTGCTCCATAAACATATACACTATCCTCCTATTAAATTAAAACAAGGTCCAATAGTGCTAAAAGACTTTTATAAGTAGATGTACATGTTCTACATGTTTTAATGAATACAAAGACATACCATACCATTTTATGCATCTGTTGCAGAAAAAAAATAATGACTGTAAATACCTTAAATCTTTAAATACTCTCAAGGTACAGGCACGTTGAAACGATAGATATTTCGTCTACATGATGATTGATCTCCATCTACGTTGTACATTTCAGAGACAGACAATAAATATCTTTTAATCAAGTCTTTTTTAAAATGCCCCCTCTTCTCTTAAGGTCTGGACATTGACCGCTGGAACCTGGAGTGCGAGTTCAACAACACGGACCATCGCACTGATCTCAATGGCATAGATCGTCTGATTGTAAGGAGGGGCCAACCTTTCTCCATCAGCCTGTACCTTCGCTCTGGAAGCTACCAACCAGGAGTCACCTCTCTTGATTTCGTTGCAGAGACAGGTGTGACTCATTCTCATACTCATACTCACTCTTTTTGAACCATATAGAAGTGTAGGCTCACAGTCACTCGTGCTTTATGCAGTGTGTTCATGTGTTCTTTGAATATTTATGTACATTTCAGTATGATAGTCATTTGAACTGCATCAAAAAATTTGGAGAAGTTTATGACCACCACTCTCACTTTCCTCTGATTCAGGAAGTTGGGTTCACGCTTGAACCCACTGTGTTTTTGTACAGACATTGCTTTCTTTGCAACCTATTGTGATTTCAAAGATGAGAGAGGGGAAAGGAGCAGGAATGCTGGTGGAAAGGAAAAGGAAGTCATTTTCCCTTGCTCACTTTCCAGTGATGCCGCAACTGGCTTTCACAATGAGCGCCCTTACAGTAGCTGTAAGATGTTCTGTTGTGTTTTCCATTGTTAGCCTCGGCTCCTCCCTTACTGTTCTGCAGGTGTTAATGGACTTTACTGTTATTGTTGGGAACCCCAGATACTGTATTCTTACACACTTGCTGTCAGACTACCCCGTAAACACTGCAAACCATCTGTCTCTTCTCCTCAGTTGGTATTTGGATAACCTTCTCATGTATGTATGGAGTATGATAAGACAGCTGTTACTTGCCATCAAATCCGACTGTTTAAACAGGAAGTGTTGCTTGCCAACAGGAAAGCATGTGTATAATCACAGATAACATTATCAAAGTTTGAAACTTCAGTGTATTTTAATGGATTGGAGTAGGACCCTTAATCCCACCCGTTCAGAGGGAGGCCAGATGCCCTCGGTTTAGTTGGCTGTACCGGGCGGAGGGTGAAAAAGAACTGACTGTTTGGACTGGAGGAGTGATATCTTCAACACTCAGCAACTCACAACAAACATTCTAGACTGATAAATAGCACTGCTTGTAAGAGGTGAAATACGTCTTTCTGATTCTGAGATATGTCCCTTTAATTTTCTGTAACTTACCAGACTTACCAGAATCCGAACTGAGGGAGACTTGAGTCCCAAACAATTTTGGTCATAATTAGGTGCCATTACACAGTAATGCTGCTGATGCATGAGAGCAGATTACTGGCATGTTTGAACTAAATTAGGGCATGGTTGAGAAAACTGAAAATGTACCCTGCGTGTTTCCAATCCCCTGACACATCTGTTTCAGCAAGTTCCCTTGGCTTTTTTCCCCTCATGTAATCTCAGGGCTCTGAATATATTCTCTGTTACATGCAGGTCCTCAACCATCTGAGCAGTATGGCACCAGGGCCTCCTTCGGTCTGTCTGCCAACGTTGACACTTCCCGCTGGAGCGCTGCTGTCACCAGTCCCCCTGGGGACATGGTGGCCCTGTCCATCTGCTCTGCCCCTGATGCGCCCATAGGCCGATACACCCTGACCCTGGGGCGGTCAGGGCGGATTGAGTTCATCCTGCTCTTTAACCCTTGGTGCCCAGGTGGGTAAACAGACCATACATCAAGCTGTCATGTAGTAGATCTTGTGTAGCGATCGTCAGCTACAAAGTGCTTTGATGATCATGTTTCATTCCAGAGTGGGCTTATGACAGGAGCTATTCAGGGGCAGTGCTGAGGAGATTATACAGGGGTGTGGTATAATTATTGGGAGATTTTTAGAAAATAGTTAAACAATTTGGGAAATATGATTAGTGTTTTTCAGCGTTCTATACTGTACTTCTCTAATATCTAACACCACGCAAACAGTTAGTTTAACTGAGCATAAAGAATGGGAACAGAGGGAAACAACTAGCCTGGCTCTGCCTGAGGGTAACGAAATCTGGCTACCAGCACCGCAAAAGCTTACTAATAAACATGTCATGACTCATATATTTAATCCAAACAAAATCAGGTTTTTATCAGCTTATTTTTTTGGCCTGGAATAGTAACTTCCTTGGGTCCTCTCATCACTGTGACGCAGGACTGGGTGATATGACAAAAATTTTGTGACCAAATACCTCAATATTAATATTGCGACAGTATTGTAGGGTTGACTATTGGTGTTTTCACAAAATATTTTTGATAAATAATCATAAGTAAGGTGGATACAATGACCATCTGAGTTAAAGCAAATAAAACGATAGGTGGAACAGTCTGATAAGTTCACTTCACTGTGATGCAGCCTTTAAAACCAGGAAAAGACAACACTTGCGATATTACAATATCCAAATTCTAAGATGGGATCTTGTCTCATATCACAACATCAATATAATATCGGTATATTACCTAGCCCTACTGTGAGGTTGCCAGGCAACCAGCAAATAGAGAGCTAACAATACAGGTGTCGGTAGGCTGATTTTGTTACCTTTACACAGCCAGGTTAGTCTCCCCCTGCCTCCTGTCTTTATACTAAGGTAAGTTAATCAGGTTCTGGCTGTAGTTTAATACTGAACACACAGATATGAGATTAATATTAATTTTATATAACTCTTGGCAAGAGAACGAATAAGCGTGTTTCCCAAAATAAAAAACGACTCTTTTACACCAGTGTTTCTCAAATGGCCGCGATGCTTGTCTAGGTGTGCCATGGGATTTTGTGATAACTACACAGTATTATTGCAATATACAACTGGGCCTATTCATAAAGTTATGAATACATTTTATTGGACTTTATCAGTATGTTGTGTTCACCCATTTCCTAATAAAGAGGCAAACTCTGGCTAAAAAGTGTAATCGTATTGAATTTAACTGAAAAAACCTTCACAGGGAACCTATTTGTTGCCGTTCACATTTGGGAATTATGAGTGTGTGATACATCAAAAGCCCTGATTGGCAGCCAGTGTGAGGGATGATAACATTTAAAAGGAGAAAGCCGTGAGAGGGACAATGGATCGCTTTATTGTACGGAGCAAATTACAACAAAGCACCAGTGAAGACGACCTGCCACTGAAAGATGAGGAGAAACTGTCAGGAGGCAGTATCATGAAAGCTACCTTTCTTATTTGTTCTTATTTCTATTGTCTGATGTCATGATAAGAGTCATAACACACATTATAAAAGTGATTGTGCACAGATATATATACACAGGTGTGCCTTGAGATGTTGGCTCGCCCTTTGGCACAAAAAGTTTGAGAACCACTGCTTTCAAAGTTTAAAACTTTATGAGAATGCAATGAATACATTTCATCATCTGCAGGATGAGAATATATGTGTTTTTGCCAAAGAAATAAAGACCAGTAGGACACTTAGGACATGTACTAGGACATTCATGGAATTGTTTATGATGTCCCTCTGCAACAGGAGATGCAGTGTATCTTGACAATGAGCAGAGTTTGGCAGAGTATGTCCTTTCTCAGGATGGAATCATCTTTCGAGGCAGCTACAAACATCCCATCCCTACTCCCTGGAACTTTGGACAGGTACCAACACCAACACTTCATCTTACACCCATAGTCCACCAGGCGAGCCAACATTGGGCCAGGCTGGTGAAGGAGTTTAAATCATGCTTATTCTGATAACAGGAAGAGGTCCATTTATCAAGTGATTTATGATGAGTTACATAAGTGCAAACAGGCTGTAATTTCCAAACATTTGACATTGAAATTAACTGAGGTATTTATATCTGACAGGGTCTGATAAAGTGAGAGGACTGTTATCGTTCCCAGCCTTTTTACTTTGATATCCGATACAGTTTGATTAGCCAGGCATTAGCAGTGCATTACATGTGCATCTGTTGAGCTTTACAGCACGGCAGAGTTACACAGCTAACTCGCTATGTGTTTGCACCTGTTACTTGTTGAAATGTTTTTATGAAGGACACGTTTAACCCTGGATCTCGCTTTTGATTATTTTTCCACCTCTATACTTGTATCAGTGACAAACAACTAATCAGCAGTAACATTTTTTTCCCATCTAGTTTGAAAGTGGAATCCTGGACATCTGTCTGAGGATTTTGGATATGAATCCAAAATGTTTGAGAAATCCTGGCAAGGACTGCTCAGGGAGGAGAAATCCCATCTATGTTTCCAGAGTGCTTAGTGCCATGGCAAGTCCATCCTCTTTACTCTTTTTATTTGCGTAGATAAGCGTATGTGTGTGATACTACTGATGCTTCAGACTAAACCTAAATCAGCTAAATTTCACACTTTTTTTCTTTGCCTGTTAGGTGAACTGTAATGACGACAAAGGGGTGGTGATGGGAAGATGGAAAGATGGCTATGAAGGAGGTGTCAGCCCCATGTTCTGGAGGGGCAGTGTGGAGATTCTGCGCAACTGGGACACCCAAGCCTGTCAGCCTGTTCGCTACGGACAGTGCTGGGTGTTTGCTGCAGTGGCCTGTTCAAGTAAGATAGGACGTGGTGGAGCCTGGTGGCCTATCACTGGAAAACACACTTCATTTGTCTCAAACAGACACAACATAACACCATATATGTAAACACACAGTTACAATATACATCTTGCTCCTCCTCTTAGTATCGCAGCACTCATGTAGGTTATTTTTATACCATGTTAGTTTCCAGAGCCCTTGGCATCCCCTGCCGAGTTGTCACCAACTACCTGTCAGCCCATGACAACAACGGTGACCTGGTGATTCACCGCTATGTCAATGAAAATGGAGAACCCAGTCACCCTACAGAAATGATATGGTAAGAACTGTATTTAATACTACAGTAGGAGGCAGGTTTGTGTAGTCATGTGGTAACATTACATATTCTGAAGCATAAAGGTATATTAAAATACATTACAAGGAGGGATATTTGCATTTTGAGATGACTGTGAATTATTTGAAAGTGAGTATAAAACCCTCTGGAGACTATTTAAGCTGTATATGTGTTCTCTTCCTCTTTGAAATGTGGCATACACAAAAAAATGCAGTGCTAACCAACATGTTTTCTTCATTTTGGGTCTTTTGGATTTTAATGTATGTGCTGTACCTCAAATATGCCGATGTGACCGTAAATTTATTCAGTAAAGTACACTCAGCACACAGATCTCTGCAAGGCAGCTGCCTGAGCTGACCATGACCGCTCTAAACAAAACAGGCGGCACAGCTGCACCCAGAGAAATTGTCCCTTCTGGTTATAGTTACCTTATAGTCAAGATGGCAGAGAAGATAACAAAACTGCTTTTTTTTTGTTTTTCAATCTCATATTATGCTTAACTTCAGTGAATCATAACCAATGAATTAATCTTTTTTTTTTTTTTAATAAACCTTTATTTAACCAGAAAAACCTCTGGAGACTTTTCAAGAGCATCCTGGCCACAACAGGCAGCAACCTAAGTTACAGACAGAAGAGACAGAACTAAAATACAGAATAAAAATATAAAGCTCTAAAACAAGCAATATAAAACACTAAGATAAGATTACTACAAAGAAAAGCCAAAAAGTATCAACGATAAAAATGCAAAAATGGCAACTACACGGGTCCATGTCATTGGTCCAACAGCCCATTGGTCCGACATCCCATTAGTCCGACGGTCCGCGGTGCTGAACGGCTCCTGGCGGGCGTATTTCTACCTTGATGGTGCGCCGCGACCGGCTCTGGGTCAGCTGGGTAAGGCTTGAGGCGGAGCAGGCTCACGGCTTATGTGTTTGTCACTTTCTTTTTCATTGTAACCCACACCATGATCTTTTCCTGACCCTAACCAAGTGGCTTTTGTGCCTAAACCTAACCAGACCTTAACCACAGGGCATCATGATGATTTCGGAACGGACTTCGGAACAATGGGTTTAATATGGTCGGAACAATGGGCTGTCGGACCAACGGGCAGTTCCCCAACTACACATGATTACAAAGACCAGCTATGATACGCCGTGACATTAGCCTATAGAAGATTGTGTACGAAAATCCTGCAACGGTGCTTTGAAACAGCCAAGAGGAACCAATTAGTGCAACTTTAAGTCCTTCTGCAGGAGATTCTACATTTAAGGAGCTGCATACACAAATGCTTGGTTGCCAAACTCTGTACGTACCGTCGGTACAGACCATAAAACATGTTTTGTGAACAGAGAGTATAGCCATTTTCAATTTTTTGCTTATTGAAGTCTGCCACACTCTATATCTGTCATTTTTTGAGTTACAAAAAAGGCCAAAATGTGGCCTGTAACAGATGGTTAGGCTTCTTGTTTTAACTCTAACCAATTACTGTTAAAGACTTGTGCCCGTTACCAGCCAGTTAGGGTCGAAGAGTCAGCAGTCAGTGATGGTATAAAACAGCCAATCAAACAGGTTTTTCAACAATTGTGAATCCCCATAGTCATGAGAGATTCTTGAGCATAAGTGTGCACACAAAGTATTAAGCTGATTTGTCCAGAAGTATGCGGACAAACATATACACTCTCACATGCACACATGATCCCCCCCAGATTCACCCCTGGTGGAGATAATGAAAAATTTCTAAGGGAATACACTGAGCACTATTTTACAGATGCACGTCCAATTGCTGTAGTTTTGAACATCGTCCTGATTTGACATATTGACTACGATTTGACCTCACAGTAGAGATTTACACAGTAGAGGTTTGTTAGTGGCTAAACTAAAGTCAACCAGTTTACTGCATTTTTTAGTGGCATCAAGTGCAATAAGCAGATGTCTTTATTAAAGTGCCAAAACAGGTGCATCCAGTGTAGGAATCCAGCTGATGGTGTGTTTACATGTGTAGGAATTATCACTGCTGGGTGGAGAACTGGATGACCAGGCCAGACCTTAAACCTGACTTTAATGGCTGGCAGGCCAGTGACCCCACACCTCAGGAGAAAAGTGAAGGTAACAAACACGCTGCATCGATAAACCCATGAGGCCATTTTATATCAAGGCAAATCCTCAACAAGTTTGTTTCTGCTTTTTCCCATTCTCCTTAGGAGTGTACTGCTGCGGCCCCATCCCTGTCAGGGCCATCAAGCAGGGCGAGCTCATGTTCAAGTATGATGCACCGTTTGTCTTTGCTGAGGTCAACGCTGATGTCGTCACCATCATGAAGAAAAAAGATGGCAGCACAGCAAGGGTCAGTAGCGCTACTATGGTGGGCCAGAAGATCAGCACGAAGAGTGTGGGCAGTGACGCCAGAGAGGACATCACTCATCTCTACAAGTACCCTGAAGGTAGAGAGCACTGCTGGATACACTGTACATGAATATAATCCTGACTTAACATCACTAGAGTTGGTCCCTACCATAAATAGTGTATGTTATTATAAGACAGTATGAAACATGACCATATACATACAAAGCTCCTCTGCATACCAGCAGGTCACAACAAGGGCCCCTGCTGCATAAATCCCCTGTCAGTATTTGCGCTACTCTTAATGTAGTTGTTTAAAAAGGGTCAGGCTTATGCTCCTTTACTAATACAGACTATTTTACATATTAAATATGTAGGAACTGATTATTTTGGACGGCAGACACTTGTCAAATTTAAGACTTTTGTGTTTAAGTTTTTGCTTTTTTTCCTTTCATATATCCAGGTTCTAATGAAGAGCGGGAGACTTTCGAGAAGGCCAATCACCAAAACAAGCTGCTCCAGCAGCAGCAAAACCAAGGCCTACACCTCACCATCAAGGTCACATCAGACATGAGGAAGGGCTGCGACTTTGACGTGTTTGCCGTGGTCACAAACAACACGCAAAGCGACAAGAAGTGCCGCCTGGTGTTTGGATCTTGCGCTGTGACCTACAACGGGGTTCTGGGGCCGAATTGTGGTTTTAAAGACCTGCTCAATGTTGAGCTGTCACCAGGAGGAGGTGAGCCAGGTCGCAATGTTGTGTTCACATGTTCATGCTGCACTCGACTTTTTCTGAGTACTGAACATATCGTATGTGTTCTTCTAGAGAGGAGAGTCCCACTGAGGCTGAACTACTCTAAGTACGGTGGAGCAATCACTGAGGACAACTTAATCCGTCTAGCAGCTCTTTTGGTGGACTACTCCACTGGAGACGCAACGCTGGCAGTGAGAAGCATCGTGTTGGATAATCCTGAAATCAAAGTCAGAGTAAGTACGATGACCTTCAACAACAACAACTTGGGATAGCTAACGATGCCAAAAAACTTACTTACGTAATGTCTAATTAAAGGAGCAGTGTGTAGGATTCATAGGATCTAGTGGCATCTAGTGATGGGGATTGCAGATTGCAACCAGCTGAAACTTCTCCCATGGGCCAAGCTTGAACTCCCGGTTAGAATTCAGAGGTCTCTTCCTCTCTCAAACAAACAGACCAAGTTACAAATCAGTAGCCCCTTTTACACTGCCAGATTTTCCGCAAATTTTTGGCCGTTTTGCCTGCAAGCTCCGAGCGACACACAGAGCTGGATTGGCGAGTTGATCCGAGGTGCCCAATTTTCCGCCTCGTAGGGTAGTCATATTGGCGGAACCCTTTTAGTTTAAAAAGACAGAGGTGACCTTCCGCAACGGGTGGGGCTGTTGAAGACTTGTGGGAGGAGCTGTTGATGATGCTGTACGTGCAACCCACTGGCGGTGGATAAACAGGAAACAGCTGATAGCAGGAATTAGTGAGCAGCTAGTAGCAAGAGGGAAACGCAAACCTGACAGACACTGTAAAGATGAGCAACTGGGGAGACAAGGAATTGCGCCCCCTCCTTGCACTCATTGCCGAAGTACTGACCAGCCGCGGCTTCCCTCCCATGTCACTCTTTACATAGGCGGCATTTTGTCACACTCCCCGATTACTGCCAATGCTAGAAAAAGACTGATTGGGCTTTCCTGCAAATTTGCACAATTCCTGTTTAAAAAGGGCTAGTGTTTCTCCAATGCTGTTTGGCTCGTTACAAAGCCAGTGATTGGTTTGTCCGTCCTGGGCTACTGTAGAAACATGGCTGTGCTCCACTCCGTGGACGAGGAGCTGCTCCCCATGTGCATATAAATGGCTCATTCTTAGGTGATGAAAATGCAACAAGCCTTAGTTTCAGGTGATTTTACACTAAAGAAAATGTACGTACTCTCTCTAAATCTAACAGACTGGACCTTTAAATGCAAATTCAAAGTAAAAACCAGTAATGAAATTTAGTAATTAGAGATATATAAGTAAAAAAATGGGCCAAGATGATCTTAAAAGCCCAGTTTCAGCTGTGCCATACTACACAAGCTCTCTCATATCATGGTTACATCAGTGCAGGATTACAGTACTGGAACACCAACACCTGTTCCCACAGTTTGTATAAACAAAGCCTGGCCCAAGCAAAATTGTACCGTACTTACAGTGAGACTGTCATGAAGTAACACCTAAATGTGACTGTGTTCTCTAGATCCTGGGTGAACCAAAGGAGAATCGGAAGCTGGCTGCAGAGATCACCCTCAAAAACCCTCTGCCTGAGACGCTGGACAACTGCTGCTTCAGCATCGAGGGGGCCAACCTCACTGGAGGACGCGTCATCTCTGAGAGGTTGTATGAGTCTCTCCTTATCCAGCTAGAAAATATTACTCCTTACTCACACAGATCGCCAAGTGAACTGTCGTAAATTAGACACTGTAAAAGTCAATTATTTAAACATTTTCCCTTCAATACGGGCCTCCTTTGGGCTTTTAAAAATCATCAAATGAGTGTAATGGAAATGTTTTTTTTTTTAGTTTGACTTCCAAACTGTGAGATATGTGTTATTTTGTTTTATGATTTGTTCCCCTGGTCATCCAGATGGCTGGATGCGCCCCTGTTTAGTCATGACAGGAGCCCACTTGTAAAGAAGGGATTTACTGGAGCAGACATAACATTTACACAGAATTCACTTAATGAAATACCATTTGGGTGGCTTGTTATTGCTCAACAATAATCTGTCTGTGATTTTATTTGTATATTTTGATCTCATTCAGTGAGTAAAGTAAGGAGTAGCCAATCAATTACTTCACTTCTGACTGCATGATGCATTTCCATTTTCTCTGGAGCGTAAAAAAGAAGAAAAATGAAACTGTTATGAAAGCATGCTCATTTTTTATACCCTTCAGTCCTCAGCTGAGTTCCAACACTGCAGCTCCATTCACATCACCTCCATAAATAGTCAAAACTGTCATGAGACAAACGATATGTCAGTGATAATCGATCGTCTAAATATTTATGCAATCAGAGTGATAAATCTGTCCCTGTTTGTGTCTCAAACTTTAATATTTAAATATTTATCCTCCAGGCTGGACTCCTCAGTGGGACCCGGGGATGATGCCAAGGTGAAAATTTACTTCACTCCCACCCATTCTGGGCTGAGAAAGCTGGTGGTTGACTTCGACAGCAACAAGTTGTGCCACGTCAAGGGCTACAGAAACGTCATCATTGGAAAATAAAACCTGGCAACCGTGTTTTTCAGAACTGTTAACTCGTTAGCCATCTAAAGATAAGCGAATGCACCTGCTTTTGCACAGTATTTATACATAAAACGCTTCTATTTGAATACTTTAGAATCTCACTGTATATTCCTGATTGCTTCTTTTATATCTGTTTTTATTCAGAGCCATAGATATTTAAATGTGAACACTTTGTACTCAGTGAGGCTGTTCAAACCTGTGCATGCAAAACTTTGAACAGAATACATACTGTGATCTGAAGTGAGGCTTTGTATTTTGAGTACTACGTACTATTTTTATATTTTTAATGCTACAGTTAAAAGACTTACACGTCTTGTTTTGTGAGAATCGTTCAACCAGTCACAATGTCAATCTTTGGACCTTGTTGGACAAAATGTGTTTGACTGAGAGCGCAAATGCAATGATTTTTCATTTGCAGTGGGACAATCATCCTTTTGTACATTTTACCTACAACAAAGATAATGAGGGATCTGGCGTGGTGTTTGTTGTTTCAATCATGACTGTATTATTTACTGAAGAGTTAAAGTTAGACAAAATGGTTCAGCAGCAGAGTATGGACATCATGTCCTCCCACAGCAGACAGTTTCACCACATTCCACCAAACATATGGGTACAATAATGCCATACTGTATTCATTTCAGATTTCCACCTCAAGGTTTATTTCTTCTCTTCTTGTACTTGAGATGCAAATGCTATTGTTTGAAAAGCCTGTGGGTGTCATTAGGTAATCTGCCTTGTTCATGGTAAGCTGCATTGCTCCTCTGTACAATATGTACTGCTATATGCTATATGCCATTTTTCTAAAGTTAGAGGAAGTGCTGCTCTCTTCTGGCCACAGACAGCAATTGCAGGTGTTAAAAAGAAAGGCTGGAAAGCTTCTGTACAAGGCATGTTGCACAGTCCACAACCTTTTAACTGTTAGCAGCGTTTTGAACAAGCTGTGTGGTGAAGTAAAAGTAATACAATAAATGAAACTGAACTACCTACCCTTTTATAATCCTATAATACACTGGTTCCCAAGTCCTGATCTCCATTATTGTCTATCAAATGTGATTGCGGGGCCTTCTTGACATACTTCTTCATTCATTTCTGTGAGGAAAACTAAATGTTTTTTCTTTTAAGTTTAAATTATTATTCAAGATAAAAACTTAAAAGAAATCTTGCAGGATAAGGGCATGGTCTGAACACAAGCTGAACTCAGAGCCTTTACCTTCTACTAGACAGCCCCACCCTGCATTAGAGTAGCACGCAGTTAAAACAACCAAAGAGCAAAAAACACTTGTCAAAATTTGTTGAAAAAGAAGCCCATTAAGTGTGCTTGTTGTTAAAAGAAATACATATACCATAAATTTGTTATACAGACAGCAAATCCCGTAAAAAGTATCTTAAAAAATATAGGAAAACTCATTGCTGGTTCAATATTTACAGGAAATAATCTGCTGAAAATAAATTCAAATTGTTTATTTTACACCTCACTTCCTGTAGTTGTTGTGTTCACTAATTGGGCAGTTCATCAATTGTACTGTACTGTTATTGTTAGGCAATATAATATAATATGAAACATCCATAAAATATGTCACTAGTTTACTAAATGATAGAAAAGCGGTCCCGAAAACAAAAAGGTTGGGAAACTGCTATCTTAAATAAAAGGGCAATATCTGCTCTAAACTATGTGGCAGGTAGGAAGAAAATATCTCTTGACCAACCTTTCCAGAAAAGGGATTTTACCTAACACAGTTCAAGTTGAGGACATATAATGATCTACGAACCGCTTAGTTTGTTAGAGCTGCCAAACCACAGATTTCCTCTACCGAGAACATGGCTTACCCACGCTTCCACCTGCAGGTACAATATATAAGTAATGAAATACAACACTGAACACCAGAGTCGCAGGGAAAAAAAGACCAGAGTCATTTCAAATGAATGTATTTAACAGAACAGATACCAAACAGCAGCACTTATAGCAAACACAGTCAAGAGGAGAATATGATTCAGATGACAAACTCCATAAACAGAAAGTTATACTGTGGCTGAGAAACTGATGACAAAAGTTTGGAGTGATAAACATACTTGTGGTGTCTCTTGAGTCATTTGGTTAAGTAGCACAGAGTAAAACTTTATTTGAATGATAACAGTAAAAGTTTACAGTGCTGAGTGTGAATATACATAAGAGTTGATATGGATGTGAAGAAGGAATACATATTTATTTTGACAAACATTCTAGTTGTGGTTTAGAAAGCTAATTACAGATATTGTTTGAACAAAGATTACATAAATTAAATCAATGCACTCTGAAAAGTTCTCATAAATAAAAAAGCTTAATTTATTCTTCGTTCCTTAGAAAGCATTTACACTGAAATACTGCAGCTTTTGGCACATGTTTTGGTGAAAAACAGCAGAACTGGCACATTGCAAAGGAAACTGTCTGTCTGTGTCTGCATCACTTGGTTATTAGTTATGATATCCATGATAATTCTGACTCTGCCGTGTACTTTGACTTTATGAGGAGAAGTTATAAGTCCTGCTCAGACAAAATAACAAAACTTATGTGTGAATGCAGCCTTACTGTTACATTTACATAAACGTAACGCATAAACTTAATAAACTTAAAGAGCACCGAGACAAATAACAAAGCAACAAAAAGAACACAACAGGTACAGTCAATAAAACCGTGCCCTTTATTGGCATTCAACAGCATTGGCATCCAAACAGCAATATTAAAGAACAAACAAACCGTGAAACACAAAGGGTCCAGTCTGACGCCTCGACTCTGTGGTGACGTGTGAGTGTGTTGATGACAGTCCCTCTTTAGAGATAAGTCATGAACATGCAGACAGAAGGGCAGACTGCCCACTCTAAAGCACACAGCTCTCGTTACAGTCAGTGGTGCTGTCAGCTGATCTCCTCCTCAGCTCCCTGCCCTCTGTCTGGTGGTGGGGGTGTGACTGCTGCCCTGGCTCCTGCAGCTTGACGTCATTCGACCCCTGACTCCTCTCAGGCTCCACGTGGAGGTAGGCGCGAACGCGGTGTTGCTGCGCCACGGTGCCGCTGAAGTCAATGACACGACACTCGTATGTGCCCTCGTCTGATGGCTTGACGCTGGAGAGACGGAGTTTGTGGGAGATGTTGCTGCCGGCCACTTTCACCACCTGATGGGGACAAAACATGACGTGTTGTTTACTTCATCAAGAACACATCATGTTCAAGGACATGTTTTACTGTATGTTATGGACATGTCCTTGAATGGCCTCAAGTGGCCATTCAAGGAACTACAGGCTTCATTTTTCAGCCTCGGAGGTTGCGGCTTGGTTCCAGCACAGGCAGTTTGAAGAAAATAAGCAGTTTTTGACCAGCAAAAAAATTGAAAACATGTTCTAGTGGAGACCCAAAATACAAGTATGAACGTGAAAATGAGCATGATAGGTCCTCTTTGGAGCTGGAGTGCTAGACTTTTGTCTCCCCTCTGTGACAGTGACAGTAATTACACCAACAATGCCGATGTGTGCTTATGACATATGCCTGCAGGTGAGCTCGCTGCATCATTGCTGACCCATGGAGTAGTCTCCTTGAGTCTTTCTTTTTGACTTAAATCCTTCCTGTGAATGCTGAGATTCTTTTTTATCTGGAGCACCCACCCTTGAAGTTTTTCTTGGACGCGTCTTAGCATTTTCTACCATGGCTTCCACCCTACTCCTTGCTGCTGTTCCCTTGCCATGCTCTCCCCCTTTGTGGCCCCTTTAGCTCTGAGTAGTTGATGTAAAAAGCATCACTCCAGCTGCACCAGTGCGGTAAAGTCACCACATACACCAGACACCTTAACTCTGCTATATTGTGAAACACAGAGAGCTTTCCCTGACAGCGTTTGGCTTAATCAGCATTGTTTGGCAAAGGCTTGAATGTAACACATATTCATTTATATATAAAAGTCCCGCAGTCCAGCTCTAAATGTGATACCAGTTAATGAAGTGCCTATTCTTGAATGGATAATATAAATATATCTTGCACAAGCTTGGATCTCTTTCATATTCATTATTGTAAAAAAAAAAAAAAGCTGCTAGTTTTCTTTAATAGTGTCTTTGCTTTGTGCTTGTTGACAGTTGGTGCACGATCAAACTCACACTAATTTTGGTGGCATCTTTGGAAGTTTCCTCCGGGGGTACAACCTGCACAGAAATATGGATGATGCGTTAGCAAAGAAGGCTGATCGAGGCTGCACTTTTTCCAAAAGCATCTCATGCTAAAAATGACTCATTTCATGGACTTACAACAGCAAAACACTGCAGTGGACAAACATGTTTGATGTTTTCAGCAGCCTTTTCTTTAACAAAGCTTCCTTGTAGTTACCATTCTCCGTGGTGGTTGAGCTTTATGTATGTTTGTGTGCGTGGGTACGCATGCTTATACATGTTTAATGTGTGTACGAGCACACACTGTACAGCACCGAGCACGTAAGCCTCTGAGCAGGAGAGTGTGTGTGAATGTGTATGCAGAGGCACAGAGGTATTCTTTTGGGCATAGGTATGAATTATGCATGGAGCAGACAGAGATTTTGAAAATCTATTTCTTTCTCAGTGCCAATTATAGTGTCTAGAGGCACAACAGGGGAGCCTGAGTTCCCCCATGATGGGAGAGAGTCAACCTGTTCCCCCAGTGCTGGCAAATGCTAATCAGCAATTATCCCTTCGTTTCCATGCCAGAGGGTTTCTGCCGTGGCTAATAGTGCATTTCCCTCTGCCTGATATACAGTAAGCTTTAGGTTCAGTCCAAGCTGCTCTGTCGAATAAACTGAACCGTAAAAACTGATAAGGTGAAACTGAGAATGGACTTTGTAACTCTACTTAACCTTATAGTATGAATATGTGTTGCTGAGTAAAATAAAGGCAAAAATAGCTTTGTTATACATTATATTACGATAGGCTGCTAACCATACACATGTCAGAGATACAGGAAATGAGATACATTTGGTTTTCTGTTTTCCCTTTTACTGGGAGCCACACAATATGGCATTTAGTGAGAGAAATCTAAAATTGATTTCTGAAGACATGAACAACAAAGAAAGAATGAGTTGGCTGGCAATGTATTAAACATTTATGTTAGACTGTTAGTTGCAGAAAGCCTGGGAGATGGGAGATAAAGAAGCTGGTTCTCAGGATAAAGGTTGAACTTGTTGCATTTTTTTCTTGTTGTGTAATTGTGATGCATAGATAATATTATTGATGTTTTCCTTTTGTTTTGTACATGTGCCACTGAATGTATTGAGAAGGGACAGTACAATTTAATAAATTCACATGGTATAAAAATGCCAGAATTAGCCAAGTGGCTACTTTTCATCTGTAGTCCCTTGGCCAGGGTGTTACACAAGGCTTTCTAAAATACAACAAAACAACAGCAACAACTGCAACAAAAACAGAGAACAGGGCACACGCTTCTGTAATCACATCACATGTGTGTTGTGTCTTGTAATTCCTGAGGGGATGAGCCAAAGTTTGAACTGAAACAGACAGACAAACTAGCTGACTAAAAGCATCACATGCACTCAGTCATCTCACACTTACCCACTAATACAGTGGGTCCCAACCTTTGTTTGTGTGACGTATCCCCACAACCCTATTAGGTGCAACCTTGTCTTCTAGAAATGATGTTTGCATATTACTAAATTGCATTCATAATTACACTGTGGTGACGCCATTCACCCAAAGTGTAGGGCTGTAACACCCAAATCTCTGGTTCACGTCCAGTCTCCAGTCTTAGGTTCAGGCATCTTTCCTGTGTTAGTTTTAGGCAACAAAAAAGGCTTTGGTTCAGGGAATGATTGTGATTTTGGTTAAATGTTAATTTTAAAAGAAGTAGTAATAAAAACATAATGTGGAAAACACACTGATACATTCAGAATCAACATTTTTGCCACTAGCCAGGTGTGTTAATCAGCAACATTCACTCTTTACAGTAGAAAATGTAATTAATGTTGCATTATGTCTCCCTCA